GGGGACTGTATACGAAATTTATAGCGGCATTGGATGTCTAGGAAAATCCTCCATTTTTTGTATTTTAATTAATTAATTAATTGTGTAGCTTACAAAATAAAAATTTAACTTGCTGACTGTATCATAGGAACATTTTAAAAGTAATTAACGTTTACAATATTATTAAAATCCGTAGATAACAATATGCATATAGAATACACGATTATACTTGTAATAAACACATTGCTTCTTCTATAATCAGTTTTCTATATAATAAAATAAAAAATTAAATTTCTACCCTCTTTCACTACATGACTGCAAACAATTGTTAAGACTTGGCTTTTGTCCTTAAATTATGAGGAAACAGAAGATCTATTTAACTAACATGCTACAATAATGTTTTAGTTATTTTGATTCATTAATTATGTGTATAATTTATATATTTATACTAGTGTTACATATACCCATATGTAAAATGTATAATTATGTATATTTATGTATTATGTATTTTATGTGTATGTACCTATTTTATTACCTATTATATTCATTGTAATTTATACTGAAAATTTTTTCAATATATGTTATTTTTGTTTAAGTATTTATGTAAGGATAATTAGATTAATATTGGAATTTAAAATGTTATAAAAAGTATTGTTTGTAAAATTTTGAATAAGTTTTAATTTTAGAATTATATTGGGAGAAATATCTACAGACAAAGCCTAGTTTAGGTGTCAGAGTTTCAATTTCTGTAATTAAAATATGTAATAAAGATTATTATTATTATTATTATTATATTGCGGTGCCTTTTTGCGATCCCTTCGAGGCTCTCCAAACTTAATTTAACACAAATTATCTTGATTTTATTTTTAATAAAGTATCTACTATACTCTCCGATGGCTCCTTGAATGGAGACCTCAGAAGAACAAAAGACCGCGCGGCCGCACACCGACTAGGTGGCAACAAGTGGATACAGAGACTGGCCTCTCTCCTACTCTACTACTGGCAGGGCGTACTGGAGGAGAATGGAGGAGGCCTACGTCCAGTAATGGATCACATAAAGAGGCTGATGATGACCCTAGCTTGACTACTAGGCTAACGCTGCTATTTTGTTGTAATACCCTTTGCTTAATAATTAATGATTCTTATAAAATAATATTTCCAGGTCGATCGTGGATTCATCCCTATACCCCGATCAGACAATCCCGACCACATGAAGGAGAATTTGGATATATTTGACTTCAAACTTACGCAGAAGGAAGTGCAAAAGATTAACGAATTTGATATTAATTCAAGAGTATTCGATTTTGGTCAATTCAACAATCATTTACATTTTAGTTTTAATCACCCTTAATAAGGTATAATTATATATTTATATAATTATATCATTCATTTATATATAATAACAAAAATTGTTTACAGTGCACGATATAGATTTATTAAATAAATACTATCATAACTACATGTTTTATATTTAATTTTATCCTTTACGCAGTGGGTTTATTCTAAACACTGTTCTAACCTGCGCACGTCTCTAAGGACAATAAAGCAGGGTTACATTAGTCTCGCCTCTGAGTCTTAGATAATTGCACTCTTTTATTTAGAGTACTCTTCCATCCTTTTCTCTCTATTTGTATTAATGCTGTGATAATAAAAACAACTGGTGATGACTTTAGATAACACGGCCCTTTTAGACTGATTTAGTTGTTCTAAATAAGGGACTTAATCCTTAACGTATTCTTAATAAAAAAATTACCTCGGAGCTGGTAATCAGGACTTGAGAACAACTGCTGCTTGTAAAGAAACAGTGTGGCACGCAGTTTAAGCGATTTAAAAAAAAGGCGTGTTACTCTTTGTTCTGTAGCAGAAGAAATAAAGATTTCTATAGGAAATGGCGTGTATGAAAATAATACTCTTCTTAAGGGTGATAACAATCAAATTTCTTAATTGTGGAGCCACTATTGACTTGGACTACACCACTACATCACTATTGGACTTTGTACGCAGGACAAATAACAAAGTTGCGTGAAGAGATACGCAAGCAACCGCGTGGCTTACTCGCGAAAGTTTTGTTTCATAAAGATAACGCCCTGAGCACAAGGCCAGAGTTGCGATGGTGCCATTCAAGAACCTGGCTTCGAATAGATGGAATATTTTCCATATTCCGGACCTAGCTCTTTCCTATTATTATCACAACCTATTTCCGCAGTTAAAGGAACATCTCAGGGGCCAAGCTGATGACACACTAGTCGCCGCGATTTTTAAGGCAATCAGGAAGAAGTCTTTTTCAGGGAACTTTAGCTTTAGAAATAAAATAACATTTAATAAAAGATAATTACGTCATACTCATTATCACATTTTATTGGACAACTATATATCTATCTGTGACACTGAATTCGCTTTACATTAATATTTATGATCGTTTTCTGTCCAATAATAATTTTCATACATTTGGAGAAAGCACTAAAGCAGACGGAGAGAAGAGAACAGGAAGCAAGAAATAATTGGTTTTTTTTAGATTAATATCAGCACAGCTTAAAACATAAAATAATTGTCTTGTCGTAAAATGATAAATAAATTAATACGAAATAGCTTTAATTTGCATAAAAGTAGTTTATATCCTTAAACTAAAAAGTAATTAAAGTATGTAAATAAAAATTGTATGTCCATTATAAAGTTATCTAAGTATTACGTAAACGATTAATTTCCTTTGTTGGTGCTTATCGGTTTTAGGTATTACTACCTACAAACTACTAGAATAAATTGAACCTAGTGTTATCCGAACTAAAATTATTTCAGAAGTATTCAACTCCCCAAGATCGTTTATTTAATTATATATTTGTACTGTAATGTCCAAATAACGTTAAAAACATCTTTTATGAAACATTATAGTCTTTCTCAGATTTCCTCGAAGAAGATGGATTGGATTACACATGGCATCTTAGCCAGAAGTTCAATTCCCGGGGAAATAATTATTATTTTCGAAGATGGGCATAGAAGGTTGATTGCCTGTATGCCTTAAGATTATCCCTTCCCCTCATTATCCTCCAATGTAATTTTTTTTTTAAATTAGTAAAAGTAGTGATGTTTTTAACTTCTTATAAAACAAGTGTAGTTTGATCTTCTGCCGTACCCTTGCTCAATATACAAACAGATAATTGCAGCAAATATTAATTACCCTTTCAATGCAAAATCAGTTTTTATGAACACGTTAAGTGACAGGACGCTCTGTTTCACGGATTAAACTTAATATTAAATTTATTTATCTACGAATACAACTTAGTAGCACCTCCAGAAAAGTCATGGTATATTTCTAAGTTTACAAAACAAATCTGCGACATGCAGTTATAATTGATAAAAAACAAACCCAGCCCAGGGGTCAGTCAGAACTATATCAACGGGTTGACATGAAATTCACGTTATTTAAGATAATATTTTTGGATATGACTTTTGTTTTGGAGTTCTAGTTTGTTAGTATGACAATCAGTCAATAGCTAGTTGACGGAAGGAACCATCTATGCCGAACAGTTCATCGTAGTTGGTAGGTTTTCCGGCACGTAGGGATTCATTTGCGATCAGGGCATCTTGAGCCTTGAACCATTCTCGGTACTCCACCAGCTTTTGTGTCCATTTTTCTGTAACAAAAGATAATTATTGCAATTTTTCCTAGGTAGTATTTAGTATAATAGCTAAGAATGAAAAAAATATTAATTAGAGAAACAATAATTAAAAAATAATCTACGCATGACTGAAAAGTTGTGTAATTAAATAAATTCACATTAATTTGTTACACGATTTTTGGGTTGAGACATGTTGGTTGCTTACAATTTTTTCTTTTACCGTAAGAACGAGTGTTTTAAATGCGCAAAAAGATGAAATGCACTATTCAGGTGTGATGGGCCTAAACTCAAGTCACTTTGTCAAACACTGCTGCCATAGAAAGTAGGGAACTAATGATTATAGTAACTATATTATAAAAAACCAGAAATATGCAATATAACGAAATGTTGAACAAAAAAAGGGTGCGTGTACTTATGTACGCGCGTAAGAAGTTATACTTCTTTTGCATTATTAAAAATAGTTTATGATTGCATGCAAATAATTATATATAATAATTAAATAATCAAAGACTGGAAAAGGAGTCATTATAGTCAATAAAGTTCAGTTTACATTTGAAAAATTAAATAAATAAATATTTATTATTATTCTCTTACATTAAGTGTAACATAAATTCTATTATTATTCGAATGTTGTTTTTAAATTATTTCCAATGCCGTAGCATCTTCCTTGGGCAACTTCATTCTGTTAATTTTGTGTCACGGTGCGCGCGCATCGTAGAATTTCACTCTCATCAATTTTTCATAACACGCCTAAAGAAGTATAACTTCAAAAATTTTCACGACTGTCGATAAAAAGTTCAATTTTCTGTTTGTTATTTTTAATGCCTTATCTTACCTTGTAAAGAATCCATGGTTTCACATTGTCCTCCATACTCTATGGGCAACATCTCTTGCGGTACGTATTTGTATAGATCTTTTAAGTCTCTATGAATGAAAATCTGAAAATAAAAAGATAATATTAAGCTATTATTATAATTATAAACTATTATATTTCGAAAACAAATAATAAATAAACACATAATTATCCGATAATAAAAAAAACAGTAATTTTTGTACATTTAATAAATGAAAAACTTAATTTTGACAAATAATGTTATCTTTGCTAATTTCGTATACCTTGGTACATTGTTTTAAGTAAAAACACCATACTGCACAGTTGCTAAATTTATAGTAAACTAATCTAGTACATTGTTTTAAGTTTTAAACGAGGTTGAAAAAATACTACGATGCAGCAAATTTGATTTAATTTGCCCTCTCTCTCTTTTGTTATGTACCTATTTAGTTAGTAGGATCTCATTTTCATATTGGATCCAATAGCATCTTTATAATCCTTTGTATATCACTAAACACACCTCATTTAATTCTCTTATACAAATAAGATTTTTTTTTAAATACTTATATGAATTTTGGGGTCGTTTACATTTTAATATATAATGTGTTAGTAAATAATATACTAAAATTTTATTTTAGTTAAGAATTATTACCATAAATAACATACACATAATAATTTTGATTTCAATAGAGAAGACGGCTTAAAATTGTTAAACACCTGGGATCCAATAATATCCAAATTAAAATCTCAAGATATATTTTATTGCTTGAGATTGAGAGGGCATTTCCAAAAAAATTGGTGACGTCGGCATAGATCGATGATTAGGCCGTTTCTCCACTGCTCCGGTCCGGCAAACGTTAATTACCGATCCGATTTAGAAACTCACAACAGTACTTACGTACTTCTCCACTACTCCGGCATCCGGTTTTTAACGATCCGATAACTTGCTAGATCGGAACGCGGTGTTTTATGGGTCCAAGTATATCCAAGTATGCAAGAGGTTATAAATTATTATTCACAGGTTTATTTATAGTTTCTATAATTTGAAAGAATCTAGATAACCTGGACCAAACCAAATTATGTTGCTATTTATTTATATTTTTTTTTATTAGTGAACTATTTATTAAGTAGATTATAATATTTTAAGATAGACAGATAAAATATTCAGAATTTATAACGTTTTATTTATAAAATAAAGTATATGGGTTTTAGTTAATATAAGTGTTGCATGATAAATATACAAGTATCGATTATTGTCGGATCGGATATAGTGGAGAAGCGCAATCCGGCCTTCCGATATTTTTCTCATGACTCATTCCGGCATCTGACGCCGGACCTGAGCAGTGGAGAAAGGGCCTTACTTTGTTTTGCATACAGATGAACCACCCACACATCCATATTCGTTGTAACGTGATTTTGGTGGATTCAGCTCTTAAGGAATATGTTCGCCTGGTAGTCAATGTTTTGATATTTTATAGAGTAATAAAGATTGTTTGTTGTTTGATTAATTTAAGTGTTATTTGTTTTTTTTGTTCAACAACTTTGTAAACAAAGAGTATATAAAAAAATACATTTAAACCATTTAAAATAATATTATAATTCTCCAAAAGTCGTCATAAATTGCGAAAAAGTACACCGATTTAACGACAAACGACTGCTTTAGGTATTTTTCAAGTAATATGGCAAAATTTTTGGTACTTAGAATATACGTACGCGTTTCCTTATTTTTTCTTTTAGAAAAGGTTTCACGAATGTGACGAATCGTTCAACGATCGGTGAGGTGTTAATGATGTGAATCTCCTTTAACTTGACTGGATAGGCTTCCTGAAAATAAAATTAATATGATTAGTATATAGCTCAAAGGTTTTTAAGTATCAGTAGCCGTACACGCAATATGGAAGTTTAATGTGAGTTTACTTAATACATTCTCTTTGGATTATTTTGTGACAGAAGAGATATAAATCAATTTAATGTAAGTACATATATAATAATAAGTAGTTTATTATATATGTTTATTATATATTAACATCATCGCTTATTTACACATTTTGTAAAATATCTAAAGATACAAAAATATTAAATGCATGTTATTGACAGTGATATACTCTATTCTACACACCCACCCTCAATGCGATGGTTCAAGCTCTTGACAAATATGATAGCCTGGTACTCAATGTTTTGAAGAATTGTGGAAATGGTAACATTTGTGTGTTTTAAAATTAAACGTATATAAATTAAATAAATAATGATAAACTTTGAAAGCCTATTTATTTAATTTCTTAAAATAATTTAAAGGTAAAATAAATTGTATAAATGTACTTATTAGCACACAACATTCATTCGTCTTCGTCTTCAAAATCGTCTTGAATAAATTTCCGTGTAGGATATATAATCAAACTCACTTGAACACAAATCATGAACTTCTTAACAGTAGAAGGTGCAAGTTTTGCCAACAAGCTCGGCCCTAGGATAGCTCCATCCAAGACATAAATGTCACCAGCGACACCTTCTGTCTCTTCCATCAGCCGCACGTCTCCTATCATAAGAGCCAACTTCAGCGTGTCTGTTACTTGTTGGGGAGAGAGGCTTGAGTCAAGACCTAAAAAATCAACGCGGACAACATTAATTGAAATCAAAAAACAATCAGTTAGTTACAAACGCCACTTACAGTGGTACAAATAAAATTTTAATTTTATTTACAAGACGGCAACGTCGCAATTCATAAATAAAATTAAGAAAAAAACAGAAACTTGTCTAGATAACCGTGTTTCTGTTAGTTTGAGGATTCCATTCGTGGTTATTTTGATCCGTGTTTATTGATTTTTATTATCATAAGCAGTTTTAAAAAATAATAAAATGCTGTATTCATTGGGAGAAACAAGTTAAAGTTTTGGATTTGACGCAACCATGAAGTTATCTGATACTATTGGTTCACAACAAGCAAGATTTAATAACGTTCTAACTACTTAAATATTTTGTTTCCCTCGTAAATAATAGGCCGTATACACGTTCCTTTATCCATTTTCCTTTAGTATTTTCCCCGGAAATCAAACCTTTGGAGTAAACTACTTTTGCTTTCGTAGCGACATATTAAATTAACATGAGTTTTTATCCGATTATGGCAAAAACCGCTTTAAAACGTGGACATGTTATGTGGTTTGATAAAAATATATGTAATCATTTTCCTACTAAAGCGATTAAAATGCAAACAATGCCTCCCTCTTATTAGCATATTATACAAAACCATACATTTATTACCTGACGAGCTTGTTTATCCGATTGTATTTTAGCTCTACATAAAATAGAAATATCAAAGCATAGACCCTAACTAATAAATTGGATAAATATCAGTAAAACTTTTTAGTGAAAGAACCGAAACGCCGACGTTTCATTAAAAAAATATACCTCTGCATATTGTGACACGTCTTCCATTCGGCGTGACTCCTGGTAGTGGTGGGCCTTGGCTGAAATAACAATTATGTGCAATGTATAATATTCAAATAAAACTGTAACGGAAATAAACGCAAAATGAATTTTTGTTACTTGATATATAAACATATGTAACACATAATTTAACATATATAATATGTTTAAAGAAAACACTTTTTTACCGGATTGAAGTTATGTATTATTATAAACTTAAAATTTTTAATTATGCAAAATAATGATAAGTTTATAATATACATAACTTCAATCCGGTAAAAAAGTGTTTTCTTTAAATGTGTAAAAGTTATGTTAATAAAAGACAATACTATATATATTATTGTTTCGTGATTTACAGTTGGTCAACGATACATCTATAAACACAGTCTTTTTTATGTGCTAATATACGTACTCTATGTACAGTCTTCACGTACTATTTTAAAAAGGAACGACTTAATACCACATTTATTTATTGGTTGGTTCACGTGTAAGCCGGACAGTGTGCTTGAAAAGTTATAGGCGTATGTTAGTTGTGCGTCGTTACTTTGTTGTAAACTATATAGAGATAATACAAGTAAATATCATTTATCACAAAAGGAAGTGAGTAATGGCAAGATGATGTAATTTGCATAATTTAGTTAGGTACATGGTTATATCAACTGAACGTTTATGTTACATAATTTGCTTACGTTATTATATTGCAATGACTTCATAGTCCAATTTATTAGTATAATGCATATGTCTACGGTTCCCTATCATCTAATTTCACTAGAAATACTTAATTTTAGATAATAAAAATAATAATAATAAATCAGTGGCGCTACAACCTCTTTAGATCTGGGCCTCAGATTTCTGAATCTGTTTCATGATCATTTTTCAATCTGATAGGCAAGTAGGTGATCAGCCTCCTGTGTCTGACACACACCGTCAACTTTTTGGGGTCTAAGACATGTCGGTTTCCTCACGATATTTTCCTTCACCGTTCGAGCAAATGATAAATGCGCACATAGAAAGAAAGTCCATTGGGAGCCGGGGATCGAACCTACGACCTCAGGGATGAGAGTCGCACGTTGAACCCACTAGACCAACACTGCTCGCATAATTTTATACACATAATTTTAGATAACTTTCATTAAGTCAACAGGAACTATAAACTAAATAACAACTGTGATAATAAAAGTAATATAGAATTACGCAATTTTACCCATCTATGAAAAGTTTAGTTCTAAATCGGATACAGACTGAGTGTAATCCTTAGAGTATTCTTATGATGGCGTATGTCTCTTAGGGTCTGTTTCACAATGTACGGATAAGTTCTACATAAGTTTCAAATTAGCTATTTATTACTTATTGGTAGGATAAATACTATTGTTGCGTTTCATGACTGTCAGATAGCGCTATTCGTCACATAAAGTCCATCATAAGTTATGAGTCCGATGAAGTGTCAAATAGCACAATTTATCTTCCAAATAATTTATGTGTTGCATAGCTATTTGGTACTTTATCCATACATTGTGAAACAGACCCTGAGTATAACTTCCGTAAGTCAAACGTATTACGGCTTTATCATACTCAGTGCTTAGACCCGACTCAGAATCGTGCACTGGCTACCCAAAGTTTGCCTAAACTATTAAATACTCGCTGTACCCAGCCACGCTTAGCTGTGGCACATTGTGATTTAATGGTTGAGAAATAAAACAAAAAATTAAAAAATAATAGATAAAAACAATGATGCATATATATATCAAGCTAAAATTTTTGAAGCGTACACAAACCAACTTAACATTTTTGTACATATAACATAATGTTCTCTAATGATATTCATATCACTGCAACAGGGTAACGCAGATTTATTTTACAATATTGGCTACAAATACTTACAGCTTTGAGCGCAGAACATCGCGTAAGGCTGCGCTAGTGGCATCTCTGTTCGTAAAGAACTCTGGACAGGCGGCCCTCATTGTAAAGTACATGTCGAGTTTCCTCTTGCATTTTTCTAATGAAAAACTGCTGCCACGCAGGAACGTCATTAAGGGGTTATCCTCTGAAAACAAACGGTTTTGAAATAATATTAATAGATTGCAATTGCTGTTGAATCATGTTTGTATTATTTTTGAGTAATAAACTTGTTTCTCGTGGAAAGAGGTAATGGAACATGTCTGTTTTGTAAGCCTACGACATTTCTCTTTTTGAATGAGAAAATATGCCATATCAGACATAAAGCTAGCTGGTATATTAGTTGTGTATTTTACTATTCAGAAAAGAAACAGAAAGACAATATTTTTTAAATAAAATTACAATCGGAGACGTGAAGGTATTTTATTTATTTTATGATACGTTAATATATCATAAACAAAACGACTACATGTGCCATACAGAATTAATATAGCTAGTATGTACCTAATTACAAACTAAACTATTATTATAAAAAATAATATTAAACTTTATGCTAGTTTCAAGTAAAAGGTACTACATGCGAGAAAAAATAAAGAAACACATCAAAAGGAAGGGATAAGCTAGTTAAAAAAAATATACATAAACATATTATATCTTAATATTATTATTGATTTTGAAACAAGATAATACATTATAATACAATAAGGGATAAAGCAAAAGGCAGGAGATTGTAGTCGGAAACGGAACATGAAGTAATTGTGAGGAATTCAGAAAGGAGGTGCGGTCATATTGGGAACAAGAAAAGAAAATGTGGTCGAGGTCACCAATATCTTCTCTACCCTCACACATATTCCTATCAACAAAACCAAGCCTTGCTAAATGATGATGTGTACAGACGTCCTAAACACCACAACATTAAAATAAATTATATAAAAACTATTCTTACCCCATTGGTCAGGTAAATGTGGTTGTTTTCGCAACCACTCCTTAATAGTAGCTAGATCTTTGTCTCTGGTATTGACATCCTCTTTTAACTCGGCTCTTATTTTCTGCCAGACCTCGCCAGATGGCTGGATCATTAGTTCCGATTTGAGTTTCATTGTTTTCTGAAATATTTAAAGTTTAAATAGAAGTTTCCTCCGAATATATATTCTAATTTATTTGTACCTATAGACGTTATATAATGATACAAAATTAAGTTTTTGTAATTATTAATACAGTACAACATTTATGTTCAAAATTGATTGATGATCGATATAAACTTTTATTTGCAAAATAATGCGGTTATATTGACATAAGAATATGTTACGAATTCAAAAATAGCATTAAATATTATAAGAAATAAACTTTTATGGCTAAGGTTTTCGTTTTAAAGCACAACAAACATTCAAATCCAAATTATATAATTTCCAAATGGTATTTTATAAAACTTACACACAATTTCGCCCAAATTATTTTATCCCAGATTGCTACAATTAAAACTGAATCATATAACAAATACCGTTAAAAACAATTAACATAAGAGTGAAACTATTCATAATTACTCTTTAGTTCTAATTGTATAATATTAAGAAAAGTATTGCCAAATGTATAAAGACGGCGAGTATCGTAATGGACATTCGACGGAGTCCTTGACATCATAACTTTCGACTATGTATAATATTGCTAATTTCGTAATCGATATTTATTTAGACCCATCCGTTAATAATTATGTACATATGTTGTAACTAGAACTTTTTAGTACTAGAATATCAATTTATATATATTTAATTCTAATTCAGAGCAGTGTTGGCCTAGTGGCTTCAGCGTTCGACTCTCATACCTGAGGTCGTAGGTTCGATCCCCGGCTGTGCATCAATGGACTTTCTTTCTATGTGCGCATTTAACATTTGCTCGAACGGTGAAGGAAAACATTGTGAGGAAACCGACATGTCTTTGGGGGGGGGGGGGGGGGGGGGGGGGGGGGGGAGACCAAATCATTTTTCAAAAGTCGCCACATAGTGGTGTTGAAAAAAACCCCCCCCCCCCCCCCCCCCCCCCCCCCCCCCCCAAACCCCCCCCCCCCCCCCCCCCAAACCCCCCCCCCCCCCCCCCCCCCCCCCCCCCCCCCCCCCCCCCCCCCCCCCCCCACCCCCCCCCCCCCCCCCCCCCACCACACAACCCCACACCCCCACCCCCCCCCCCCAAACCAACCCCCCGCGGAACACCCCCCCCCCCCGCCCCCCCCCCCACCCCCCCCAGGCCCCAACCCCCCCCCCCCCCCCCCCCCCCCCCCCCCCCCCCCCCCCCCCCCCCCCCCCCCCCCCCCCCCCCCCCCCCCCCCCCCCCCCCCCCCCCCCCCCCCCCCCCCCCCCCCCCCCCCCCCCCCCCCCCCCCCCCCCCCCCCCCCCCCCCCCCCCCCCCCCCCCCCCCCCCCCCCCCCCCCCCCCCCCCCCCCCCCCCCCCCCCCCCCCCCCCCCCCCCCCCCCCCCCCCCCCCCCCCCCCCCCCCCCACCCCCCCCCCCCCCCCCCCCCCCCCCCCCCCCCCCCCCCCCCCCCCCCCCCCCCCCCCCCCCCCCCCAACCCCCCCCCCCCGGCCGGGGCGGGGCCCGCCCCCCCCCGCCCCCCCCCCCCGCCCCCCCCCCCCCCCCCCCCCCCCCCCCCCCCCCCCCCCCCCCCCCCCCCCCCCCCCCCCCCCCCCCCCGCCCCCCCCCGCCCCCGCCCCCCCCCCCCCCCCCCCCCCCCCCCCCCCCCCCCCCCCCCCCCCCCCCCCCCCCCCCCCCCCCCCCCCCCCCCCCCCCCCCCCCCCCCCCCCCCCCCCCCCCCCCCCCCCCCCCCCCCCCCCCCCCCCCCCCCCCCCCCCCCCCCCCCCCCCCCCCCCCCCCCCCCCCCCCCCCCCGGGCCCCCCCCCCCCCCCCCCCCCCCCCCCCCCCCCCCCCCCCCCCGGGGGCCCGCGGGCCCCCCCCCCCCCCCCCCGCCCCCCGCCGGGCCCCCCCGGCCCCCCCCCCCCCGCCCCGGCCCCCCCCCCCCGCCCCGCGCCCCCCCCCCCGCCCCGGCCCCCCCCCCCCCCCCCCCCCCCCCCGCCCCCCCCCCCCCCCCCCCCCCCCCCCCCCCCCCCCCCCCCCCCCCCCCCCCCCCCCCCCCCCCCCCCCCCCCCCCCCCCCCCCCCCCCCCCCCCCCCCCCCCCCCCCCCCCCCCCCCCCCCCCCCCCCCCCCCCCCCCCCCCCCCCCCCCCCCCCCCCCCCCCCCCCCCCCCCCCCCCCCCCCCCCCCCGCCCGCCCCGGCCCCCCCCCCCCCCCCCCCCCCCCCCCCCGCCCCCCCGCGGCCCCCCCCCCCCCCCCCCCCCCCCCCCCCCCCCCCCCCCCCCGCCGCCCCCCCCCCCGCCCCCCCCCCCCCCCCCCCCCCCCCCCCCCCCCCCCCCCCCCCCCCCCCCCCCCCCCCGGCCCCCCGGGGGGGCGGGGGGGGCGCCGCCCCCCCCCCCCCCCGCCGGGGGGGGGGGGGGGGGCGGGGGGGGGGGGGCCCCCCCCGCCCGCCCCCCCCCCGGGGGCCCCCCCGGGGGGGCCCGGGCCGCCCCCCCCCCCCCGCGGCGCCCCCCCCGGCGGCGGCGCCCCGGGCCGCGGCCCCGGGGCCGGCCCGCGGCGCGGCCCCCCCCCCGCGCCGGGGGCCCCCCCCCCCGCCCCCCGGCCCCCCGGGCGCCCCCGCCCCCCCCCCCCCCCCCCCCCCCCGCCCCCCCCCCCCCCCCCCCCCCCCCCCCCCCCGGGGGCCCCCCCCGGCCCCCCCCCCCCCCCCCCCCCCCCCCCCGGGCCCCCCCCCCCCCCCCGGGGGCCGGGGCGCCCCCCCCCCCCCCCCCCCCCCCCCCCCCCCCCCCCCCCCCCCCCCCCCCCCCCCCCCCCGCGGGGGGGGGCGGCCCCCCCCGCCCCCCCCCGCCCCCCCCCCCCCCGCCCGCGGGCCCCCGCCCCCCCCCCGGGGGGGGGGGGGGGGGGGGGGGGGGGGCGGCCCCCCCCCGGGCGGCGGCGGGGGGGGGGGGGGGGGCCCCCCGCCCCCCCGCCCGCGGCCCGGGGGGGGGGGCCGCCCGGGGGGCGGGCCCCCCCCCCCCGGGGCGCGGGGGGGCCCCCGCGGGCCCCCCCCCCCCCCCCCCCCCCCCCCGGGGGGGCCGGCCCCCCCCCCCCGCCCCCCCGGCCCCCCCCCCCCCCCGGGCCCCCCCCCCCCCCCCCCGCGGGGGGGGGGGGGGCCCGGCGGGGGGCGCCGCCGCGGGGGTCGCCGGGCCCGGCGCCCCGCCCCCCCCCCCCCGGGCCGGCCCCGGCCCCCCCCCCCCCTCCCCCCCCCCCGGGGGGGCCCCCGGCCCCCCCCCCCCCCCCCCGGCGGCGCCCCGGGGGCCGGGGGGGGGGGGCCTCGGCCCCCCGCCGGGGGGGGGGGGGGGGGGGGGGTGGGGGGGGGGGGCGCGCGGGGGGGGGGGGGGGGGGGGGGGGGGGGGGGGGGGCCGGAAGGAGGGGGGAGAAGTGATTAAAATGATGAAAATAAAAACACTGGAGGCTGATCACCTACTTGCCTCTATTAGATTTAAAAATGATCATGAAACAGATTCAGAAATCTGAGGCCAAGACCTAAGAGGTTGTAGCACCACTGATTTTTTTACATATTTAATTCACTTTCACCTATTATGTGTAAGAAAAAGGAACTTGTCCGAAAAAAACAGTTATTTTTATTTTATTAATTCACTTTCACCAAACGTGTACTGTAAGTGCTTTTGAGTAAATTTATAATAATCAATTCTAATACTATAAAGAGATATGTGTGTTGTATTTCTATTAATTCAAACTAATACTATAATATATACTATTTTATTCTATAAATAAATATAGTATAAACTCAAAAACCAATTTCATAATTTGTCAACCAAGAAAATGACTCATTATCTTTGAGTAACGTATGTTATAAATTCAAAACATATTTAAAGAAATAAATGTCTAGCCGTTCCAAGACCAAACAGACCGCTATTTTGAATAATATAGACGATTTGAAATTTCTATATTTGTTATAGTAACCAGTTAAATAGTATAACTGGTGCATCGATTACTTGTTCCAACGGTACATATAAACAATAATTACAGTTGGGTTCGTTCACGTATGAACTCTAGGATAGCGCAAAATTCCCGTATTTCCTGCTTCAGTACACATACACCTTAGTACTTGTGTAAAGCACATAGAAAGAACATAGACATCTACTAGAAAGTAAATGTTGTTTGATATTAAGTAACACATAATCTATTTATTAATAAAAATATTGTAGTATTTAATTGCCTTGGAAGCGGTACAAAGTTTGGATAGAACTGCAAATAACGGCCAAGCTATGTGAAGTAAGCATGCAACATCTTATATATAAAATTCTCGTGTCAAAATGTTCGTTCCCATACTCCCCCAAAACGGCTCAACCGATTCTTATGAAATTTTTATGCATATTCAGTCTAAGAATCGGCTACTATATATCTTTAAAACCCCTAAATGTTAAGGGTGGTCCAACCCTAAATTTTTATTTTTATATTTTAGATACAATTTTTTTTTTTTTTATGAGACAGCATACAAAAATACATTGAACCCCTAATTTTCACCCCTCTACGAATCAACCCCTATTTTGTATTAAAGTAGACAGTTATTTTTATTAAACTAAAAAAACTAAAAAAATTAAAGATTGTTGAAAAGCAATCAAACTTTTGGTTTACTAAAGAATGACTGCAAAGGGATCAAGTTATGTAAATATATAGTTCATACAGTATTGTAACATAATAACTTGTATCGTATTTTCCTTAAAATTTTAGGTTAAAATATATTTACAACGATTACCTTTTAATAAAACAGCGGGTACACAAGCTAGAGGCATACCTCCTAAGTAATCGCCGCTTATGTCTACAAATGTGTTTATTTATTACGTTTCAACTCCGTTTCGTGTTAAGAACAGAAAAGACCTAACTACCATGTATCTTGTAGTCTCCTAGCGAGACGTACGTGCACTTATTCATAAGAACTAAATCAGTATTATTGCACTGTTTTATGTACTCTTTTGTTTTGTTTATTTTTTATCAGATATTTACACTGTTATTAAAATAGACACATGAATCTCCTG